TAAAATTGGAGAATTTTCCACCCTTTTATTTTTTCCTACCTTGCATACAGCTGAATGTGAATTAGTTGAATGTTGGTGCCATCTGACATTGTTTCTCTGTTGTTATCCAGAGGAGAAACAAATATATGGGGACTTTGCTAAATGACCAATGGGATATTCATTCATTTTAAATAATGACATTATGTCAATCATTGAAAGGAAGTCCTTTTTCTGGTTCAGCAATTATTCCTTGTTTAGTTTACTACATGCTTGCCTATTAATCTACTTCTAGTCTAACATGTAACCCAATAGCCAAAGGAGTGCACTGACACCCAAGTTGTCCTCTGCCCTCCACATCCACACTGTGGCACACAGGTGCCATTATTTACACATACCAACCTAGTTCCTAACTGATGAGCAAAACTCAGAAAAGTTCAACAAGCAGTCTCAACTAGTCTACAAACTCAGATTGGACTTTAAAAAGAGATTTATTTACTTTTTAAATGATGTGTATGTATATGTGTCTCTGTGTAGCTATGAACATATGAATGTGGGCGCCCATAGAGGATAGAGGCATCAGATACCCCAGGAGCTGAAGTTACAGGTGATTGTGAGTCACCCAACCTACCTGGGTCATCCTCAAGAGCATTACACACTCTCAACTACTGAGCCATCTCTCCAGCTCAGATGGGCCTAGCTCAGTGTCTATTTGTAAAAGTTGACCTGGCCCTATGACAAATATTACCCTTTGTTAATTGTGTTGTACTGAGATCTCAGTATACAAAGTCCTTTAAAATACTTCCATCTCTTAGCTATTGTGACAAGAGCAGCAACAAACATGTATGTACAAGTGTCTCTGCAATAGGATGAGTTCTTTGGATCTATGCCAAGGAGTGGTATAACTGGGTCAAATGGTAGGTTTATTTGTAGTTTTTTAAGAATTCTCCACACTGCTTTCCATAGGGGCTGAACCAGTTTGAAGCCCCACCAGCAGTGGATGAGTGTTCCCCTGTCCCCACATCCTCTCCAACATTTGGTATCATTTGTTCTCTTGATCTTAGCCAGTCTGACTGGGGTAAGATGAAATCTTAAAGTGGTTTTAATTTGCATTTCCCTAATTACTACTGATGTTGAACAACTTTTCAGATGCTTCGTTGCCATATTTATTTCTTCTTTTGAGAACTCTGTTCAGTTCCTTAGCCCATCTTTTAATTGGGTTACTTCCTTTCTTGATACTTTGTTTTTTGAGTTCATTATATGTGCTGGATGCTAAACTTCTGTCAGATGTGTCTCTGGTGAAGATTTATCCCATTCTGTGGGTTTTCCCTTCACTTCCTTGGTTGCTTCTTTTGGTGTACAGAAGCTTTTTAATTTTATGAGGTCCCATTTGTTGATTCTTGCTCTTTTTTCCTGAGCAATTGATGTCCAGTTTAGAAAATCCTTTCCTACACCTATATCTTGTAGGTTATTGCCGATGTTTTCTTCTAACAGTTTCAGAGTTTCAGGCTTCACATTGAGGTCTTTGATCCATTTAGAGTTGACTTTTGTGCAAGGTGAAAGACAGGGGTTTAGTTTCATTCTTCAACAGTTGGAGATGCAGTTTTGCCAGCACAATTTGCTGAACATGCTATCTTTCCTCCAGTGAATGTTCTAGGCCCCTTTGTCAAATATAAGGTGGCTGAAATTGCATGTGCTCATATTTGGGTCCTCAATTTTGTTCCTTTGATTGGTGGGTCCATTTTTGTGCCAATACCATGTTCTTTTTATGACTATAGCTCTGTAATACAGCTTAAAAACTGTATTTTACTATATAGTAATACAGCTTAAAATCTGTACTTTACTATATAGTATTTTACTATATAGTTATAGTATACTAATCCCCCTGGCGTTGCTCTTAGTGCTCTGTAGGTATATATATATATGGAGAGAGAGAGAGAGAGAGAGAGAGCAGCAATTGTGAAGGGAATGTTTCAATGTACTCTTCCCCTAATTACTTGTTACTGGTATATAGAAAGGCTACAGACTTTTGTACATTAATTTTGTAACCTGCCACTTTACTAAATATGTTAATAGTTTCTAGGAGTTTTGTGGTGGAATTTTTGGCATCTCTTAGATATATCATCTGCAAAAAGGGATAATTTGATCTCTTCCAGTTATTACTCCTTTAATTTCTTTCTTTTGTCTTATTGCTCTTGTGGGAGTTTCAAGCACTATGTTAAAGAGTGGAGATAGTGGACAGCCTTGTCTGGTTCCTGATTTCAATGGGAATGCTTCCA